TGCTCGTGCCGTGGATTTGTGTTGACTGTGTTGTATTCTCATCTTCAGCTAAATCCAGATAGGGATTCTGAATCGGGATCTTAATGATTATTAATTGAAACAGCATTGCCTAGATAAGTTGGCAAAAAGTAGCTACGTTATGAAAAATAGTTAATATAACTTCATTTATATTATTTGTAGGAAGAAAATCAGAAGAGGAAGGGTTGGAAGACAATGGGCTGGAAGAAAACTCCAGAGATGGGCAGGTAGGTGAAAGCATGATTGCAGTTTCCAAGTACGTGTGTCATTAAAATGACAGTAAACACACATCTGCCCTTTTCCTTTATTTAGGAGGATATTGAAGCAAGCCTGGATACCTTACAAGACATTGACATGATGGATATTAGTGTGTTAGATGAGGCTGAAATAGACAACAGCAGTGCTGTGGACTGTGGGGAAGACTATAGTCCTGATAACATTCTGGATTCACTGTCTGATAATAAAGACAATGTTGATGCTGAAATGAAAGAACTCCCAGATCAGCTAACAGAAAATGAGGTAAGTAGAGGTCCTTGCAAATGTAACAAGTGTTTGGGAGGCTTTTCTTTGGTGTAATGCAATATAGGATGTGTGTAGAACATGGATTCTGGTTCACATTAGCAGCTCTTGTGTCCTACCAGAGGTATAAAGGCTGACAGCAGAACATTTACCACCTGCTTTGCTGTGCAGTGACATCTCTGGGCTGAAAGCAGTTGTTGGTTTCGCTGTTCCCTGTTGCCATTGATGCTTGCTAGAGTGTGTGTGCATTAATGGATGCATGCACACAGATGTGCACCCACCCATCTAAATAACTGCATATGCGAAGGAAGAAATTCATTTTCAACTTATAATTTAGAACTCTTTTCTGCAGAAATGATGTTGTGAAGAAATTATGTTGTGTAGGTTATTAAAATCCTTATGGATCGGGGATTGCCCTTGCCTGGCAGTGCCAAACTTTTGATGTAGCTTAGAGAGCAAGTTGGGATATCTCCTATACAGACTGCAGCTGCTGAATGGACGCAGTGGTTGTGTGCTATGGTTACTGCCCACACAAAAAGCACTCTTTCCTTGTGTATTTGCTTTAGGCTTCTCATGTCTGTCTCAGCTTTTTGCCATGTGAGAAACAAGGTGATTGCAGAAACACCCATTAACCTGAAAGGCCAGTTGGCTTTCTTTCAATTGGAGCTGTTGAGAATCATAACCAGCGAGGTTTTGGTTGAGGCTTCAATCCAATAGAGCTCCAGCAGCTCTTAGGTACGGAGATGTGGGGGGCGTTTTGTCATTGGCAAAGTGGAGACTTAAATCAACTTCACTTCTAACGCCTTGAAGGTAGAAGGCAAAGAAATAAAGAAATGAAAACAAAAAAAAGGTGGGAAAATGGAGAATTTCTAAATCAAAGCATCTTTAAAGCATACTTTAATCTCAGTGATGAAAGGTTACTGGAAAGAGTGCTCTCCTTCTCATATTTAATGCTGAAGAACATTTCTCTCTTGCTCTTCTTGGGTTGTGCTCAGAAGCAGTAATATTGGAAAATGCTGCTGATGTTGGTGCTCAGGATGTGGTGCTGTTGCTCTGGGCTGTGCACTCCTTGCTGTGTAGGAGTACTCTAATTGCTTTTTTACTCTTCTAGGAAGATTATGATGAAATTGAAAACAATGTAGATTCCTCTTCTGATTTAATTGAAATGAAGGTAAATTGAAAACGTAACTCGCAGATATTTTTTAAATGCTGTTCACTGTGTTCGTACCATTGGCCATAGTGTGAGCTGTGACAGAACCACAGGCTGAGTGCTCTCATACAATCCACTCTGTCAAGTGAGGATGCCCCGAGTTGTTTCCTTGTTGTTTTCTTCTCTCCCCGCTTGGCCAAATTCAGGAGACTTCCTCCCCTTTTGCTCTGGCACTGCGAGGGAAACAGGCCTTCAGAAAGGCAGAGCGAAAGCACTGTGATGGCTGTTCTTACTTAGGAAAAAAGATATTTGCTTGAAAAGTTTCACAGCTGATTTATTTTCCTTTCCCCTGCTGATGGTACCCAGCAGCAGCCAGGTTTCGTTATCACTCTGTGGTACCCAGAGGAACCTTTTTGCCCCCTTTTCTCTAATATTCCCAGTTACGAGGCGAATAGGGGCTGAAATTTGGGCTTTAATTAGTCAAAAAAAGTTACGTAGATTATTAATTTCCAATGGATGGTGAAAAGCAGTGCTAAGAGCAGCAGGTGCATTGGCAGACGCTTACATCTCACGGGTGGGGGGGGGAGGGTTGCAGTGATGCTGTGTAACAAAGTACACTGCATAAAATCCTTATTCTGTGTTTATTTCCCAAACAGAAAATGGAGAAACTACACTTGGAGCCAGGTACTGTTAAAGAAAAGCATATTCCTGTCTTTTCAACTAATGCTTTTTAAACCATTAACTGTTTAAAACAAACAAACAAACATAGAGTTTGCGTTATTCTTATGATGGACAACCCAGATCGTGCAGGGTCATAGAGATTGGAAACCCAATCATATCCCCAGATCTGTCAAGTGATGCTTGTCATCTCTGAAATATTTTCAGTGATATGAAATGGTTTAAAAACCTGTTAAGCTACATAGATGGATGTAGAGAAGGTAATGACAGTTTAAGAGCTAAGCAATCTGCCTCTAAACAGATCTTGTGATATCGCACACACCTTAACTCCTTAGCGAGTAGGGAGCAGTGACAGCAGTAAAAAGACATTGTAGGGCATTAGAATGTAAAGCTTAGTTACTGGATACAGAAGAAAGAAGAGAGTTTCTTCATGGAAATTTCATACAGATACTTTTCACTTTGTGGACTGCAAACACACTCATGCACCATCAGAAGAAGCCCAGGTTTCATGTTGGACTGTCTGCTAAAAGAATGTCACAGAGATTTAAAAATTGAACCCTCAGTGCTTTGCTATGTTCAGTTAAGCGTCTCGGACTGTGGAAGCTAACTAGAGAAGAAACAGCTGAACGATTTCGTGAAGAATATCAAGGATGAGCCAGAAGGTTTTGTTAAATCTGTGGGGGATTTTTCTTCCCTGTTAACGTGTGAGGGCTGATGCAGTAGTG